GGAGAACATGTCAGAGCACCTGGAGGAAACCCACGCTGACACAGGGAGAACATGTCAGAGCACCTGGAGGAAACCCACGCTGACACATGGAGAACATGTCAGAGCACCTGGAGGAAACCCACGCTGACACAGGGAGAACATGTCAGAGCACCTGGAGGAAACCCACGCTGACACATGGAGAACATGTCAGAGCACCTGGAGGAAACCCACGCTGACACAGGGAGAACATGTCAGAGCACCTGGAGGAAACCCACGCTGACACATGGAGAACATGTCAGAGCACCTGGAGGAAACCCACGCTGACACAGGGAGAACATGTCGGAGCACCTGGAGGAAACCCACGCTGACACGGGGAGAACATGTGGGAGCACCTGGAGGAAACCCACGCTGACACAGGGAGAACATGTAAACTCCACAGACGAGCTCCCCCACCCTGAGTTCAAACCAGGAACCCTGTTGCTATGAGGTGACAATGTTAACCACTGCACCACTGTGCTGCCATTAACACATTTTCAATCAATCAGTCAATTTTATTTATAAAGCTCAATATCACAAATCACAATTTGCCTCACAGGGCTTTACAGCATACGACATCCCTCTGTCCTTATGACCCTCACAGCTGATTTGTCCCAGTGAACATCAAATGGAATTTCAACATTGATTTCTAGTTGAAAACTGGTTGATATTCAGTCTGACCGTCTGAGAGCTCTTTTCAACCATTTAAATGTGGTTGTATCAGTAACGTGTCAAAATTACAATTTAAATTAAATTATTATGATAATGTGTTGAGTTTTATGTTAAAAGAGAGGCAGTACTGATTAGTGTGTGAAGGTATTTCTCCAAATTCATATTGCACTGGTGGATGAAATGTGGTCTATACAATGACATAATTTCAAGACATACAATGTTTCATACAACATGTCATAAATATGGAACAATACAGTACACTATACACCAGACAATATGGTCCTGGTGACCATATGTCACTGGGATTTTCTTAGTTTGGCTGCAAAATGACGACAGACTATTATTTGCACACTGTGGAGGATGAAAAATCTCACTGTTGCAAATCTTGGTGAAATATGGTCTAAATGAGAATGTTCAATCAACATCTACAAACAGTCGGTGAAAAAACGTTCACTTTTGAACCATTTCTGGACGTCTTGTTGTCACTGCTGACCAGAGGTGTTTTTTTTAAACACCTCTTCAATGGAAATACAGTCGCTGGGTAGCTCATCGTAAAAAGCATCTGACTGTGTAAAATCATGTTGAAGTTCAGAGAGGACCAACACTGTGTCTCCCCATCACACATGTGATTTCTACAAATCAAATTAAAGTCTGTGTAACTGAATCTGTTCCTTTTCTCCTGCAGGTTTTCTGATCCTCGTACATGAACCGAGATCAGCCTCGACCTCTCACCATGGTCCTGCTTGGAAAAACTGGAGTCGGTAAAAGTGCTTCAGGAAACACAATTTTAAGACGACGAGGATTTGAGTCGAAGCTGTCCTTAAAACCAGTGACGAAACGTATCTCTGAGGAAACAGAATATGTGTTCGGGCAACACATCTCAGTGATCGACACTCCAGGAATATTAGACACCAAGTACAAAGATGAGATTAACGACTTCTGCCAGGAGCTCCTGCAGTCCTCCAGACGTTGTCTGTTTCTGGTGGTGCTCAGAGTTGGAAGGTTCACAGAGGAGGACCAGAGGGCTGTGAGGACAGCTCAGGAAGTCATCGGGCCTCGGGGGATGAAAAACACTTACCTGCTCTTCACTGGTGGTGATGCTTTAAAGGACAAGACGTTGGACGACTTTATCTTTGAAGATGAAGAAGAAGCTACACTTCCAGATGTTGTTAAAATGTTTGGGGGGGCATATCACCTCTTCAACAATGATGATGATGATGAAGAACAAGTCAGACAGCTGCTGGTGAAGTCAGGCCACCTCTCACCCCAACAACAACCTGGTCCCTCAGGTACTGTGTGATTTAATTCTTACATGTACTTTATATTATATGGTGGCTTTGGATGGTGTTATGTAGAGACTGACATACAGTGTCCTCATTATCAAAACCAAAAATGAATCCTTACTTAAATTGAATTGAATGGCATAAACTTCCAGTATCCCTGAACCTGACTGAAGCAGAGAGAAATTTAGATCAGGCTTTGAAGAAATGGCGAGCAAATAGTCTGTCAGAGCAGGGACCTTTTAAAAAGTTAATGAAATGTGTTGTCATTTTATGTTTTGTATATTTCTTTATGTAATTATATGGATATTGTATTAGTGCCTGTCAGTCTCACCAGACCTGGCATCTCGCCCCGGATCTCTCTCCAGAGGATCACAATGGAAATGAGCCTGTGGCTTTCTTGTGTAATTTAATCCTCGACAGCTGTAGATGTGATAAATGTCTTCAGGCGAAGCAGTTTTATGTGTCCTTCATGATCGGAAAATCTGTCTACCTACCGTCTGACCGACATATGAATCTACCTACCTACAGACCGATCTACATAGCTACTTTCTTACCTATTGACCGACTGACTTACCTTCCTACCTAGATGGCGCTGCAGAGCTGCTACGAAGTCTCTTGTTTACACCTTAGTTGTATTGTTACACAGAACCAAATGACAACGGCATCATGTGGCTTCAGCGAGCATGATGACATCACAGGATCAAAAGAGGCGTGACATGTAACACAACAGCATCATCCTCTAGTGTGACATATAACATACGTGTCAGCAGCTCTTTATAAACAATAACAATGACATCACATGTCAGTAACAATCCTTTAGCGTCCCTGTTATATGTCCCTCTGCTCGGAGGGTAAGTAGCTCCTGGACCTCACTGTTTGAGTTAGCTGCTAACTGCTATCAGCTGCTGTTCTTCTTCTTTGAGTTAGCTGCTAACTGCTAACAGCTGCTGTTCTTCTTTGAGTTAGCTGCTAACTAATAATAATAACTAATAATAATAATAATAATAAATTTTAACTGCTAACAGCTGCTGTTCTTCTTCTTTGAGTTAGCTGCTAACAGCTGCTTTTTAAATCTCCTGCAATGGGTCGCACACATAACACGTCATCAAAACGTCACATCTGTCCTGTCCATGGTCCCATCCCACCGACTGTCCTGTTTATACAGACATTGGTCTGATGCTCTTACTACCTCTGACGTCGCCTTAAAGGCGAGACAACTCTGTCCCTGCAGTCTGTGATCGTTCCCTTTATACAGAACAGTGAGGAGGAATAACAGTGTGATATTCCAGCTTTGAGAAGGAAGTGTAAAAGAGACTGGATGTTTAGACTTTTTTTCATTGTAAATGGATCATTGGTTAAAACCAACACACACCAGATTTGTACTGGTTGTTTTCCATGTTGAAAACAAAGGTCAGCAGAGTTTTACTTCACTACATTAACTTCTTCCATCTAGGGCTGTAACTAACATTTTTTTGATAGTTGATTAATCAGTCATTTATTTTTATGATAAAGTAATTGTTTGGGCAATAAATTGTTAAATGATTAAACAGGTTGATTGGTGTTTCCCAAAGCCCAAGATGAAGTCCTCAGAAGTCATGCTTTTCCCTACAACCCAAAAATATTCAGTTTTCTGTCACAGAGGAGTAAAGAAACCAGAAATATTCACATTTAAGAAGGTAGAATCAGAAAATTCAAACTTCATATGCTTCCGTGCCGCTGAAAGCCATGACCAGAGGCATTATGTTGTCAGGTTGTCTGTCTGTCCCATTCATATGAATGTGATATCTCAAGAAAGCTAGAGCATTTTTTTTGTGATATTTATCATCTGTTTTTCTGTCTTTTGTCTTCCAGCTGATGTCTCCAGAGACAGGAGGATCGTGCTGCTGGGTCGACCTGGAGCAGGAAAGAGTTCATCAGGAAACACCATCCTAAGATCTGAAAAGTTCAAATCAGGCTGTGGCTTTGGTTCAGTCAGTACTGAGACAGTCTCTGAATCAGCCACAGTGGAGGGTCGTCAGGTCACAGTGGTCGACACTCCTGGATTCACTGATGCTGTTCTGACTCCTGAACAGCTGTACCTGGAGATCATGAAGTCAGTAGTGAAGGCCAGTCCAGGACCTCATGCTTTTGTCTTTGTGGTCAGATTAGGCAGAATCACAAAAGAAGACATCAAACTGTTTGAGATACTTCCCAAACTGTTTGAGGGAGGTGCCTCTAAATACTCCATGGTCCTGTTCACTCATGGAGACGATCTAAAAGGTCAAACTATGGATAGTCTGATCAGGTCCAACAGACACGTGTCAGACCTGGTCTCCATGTGCGGGGGTCGATTCTGTGTGTTTGACAATAAAACCAAAAAAAGCAGAGAGCAGGTCAGAAGCTTCCTGAGTAAAGTAGATGAGATGGTGTCAGCCAATGGTGGAGGACACTACACTGATGACATGTTCAGGATGGCTGAGACGTTCATTATGGAAGAAAGGAGAAAAGACGCAGACAAGACAGGTCCATTAGTAAAGACAGGTCCTACAGGTGCGACGGGTGCGACGGGTTCTTCAAGTGGATCAGGTGGTGCTAACAGTATATTCGCGAAAATTTATAGTTTCTTCAAAGATTGATACAATTGTGTTTTTCTCACAGTTCCTGACTGCAATAAAGGAAATATTAAAACTATTGAACTTTGCACTTTGTTTGTTTGTTAGTTCATTTTTTAGTTATTTTTTTAAAAAAATCGTTAAATGATGATTGTTTGATTTTTATAATTTAGTTTTTGATTATGATTTTTATGGTTTATTTATAAACAACCCATATCTGAACAAGCTAAACTTAAAGAAAACATTAGACCCAGTTAGTTATTCACATTTCATAGTGTAAATCGCAAAGTGCAGTAATAAAAAGCCTCAGTTGACTCTTTCAGTTTAGATGCACATTATTATTTATCTCGTTGTTCCTCTTGTGTTTTGTTTAAAACTAACTTTAAGATTAACTTCACTTTAAATTGTTACATTCAGACATTTAGGCTGAACAGTTTTTTGTCCACAGCTTTGTTTCTCGCATGAACTGAGCTTAAAACCATTCAACAACTTCTGGTCTTTGGGTTGTCCATCTGTCTCAGTCTCACAATATCTTCAAAACATCTTGAGGTAATTTCCTCAAATCTGACACAATGAACTGATTAGTATTTGGTGGTCAAAGGTCAAAGGTCAGTGTGACATCACAAAACATGTTTCTGTCCATAACTGAAGAATTCAGACACTAATTCTGACAAAACTTGACACAAATGTCTGACAGGATAAAATAATGAAGTTATGACATTTTATATCCAAAAGGTCAAAGGTCAGCATCACTGTGACATCATCATGTTGTGTATTAAACACTTTTCTGTCCATTACACAGCTTCTTTGAAGCAACAAATCCTGTCATGGCTCCATATGAGTCTGAACAGACATAGATGGAAACTGCAACGTGACTGGTTCCTGGAGGTGTACAGCCACAAGGCGGTAATTCTAGTTTTTATAAATAAATAAATAAATGAAAGTTAAGATCATTTTTTTTCACTCATGAGCAGATGATGAGTGTGTCTCTGCAGACTGCAATGTGGTTTGAACTCAAAAGAAACAAAACCCACAGTGAGATTCCAGGTGCAACAGCTCACCTTTGTTAATGATGTAATGCTCCATACAGCAGGGGGAACAGGAAGGTCCACAGGGGGCGCTGCAGGGAGAGGTCACAGTGAGAACAAAAGTTTTGAATAAAAGAGAGATGAGCTCCAGTTTCACTGTGATCACCATGAATCAGACACAGAGACCTGGCGCCGTATTTATCAAACGTGTTAGAGCGCCATTTTAGTCTTAAGTGCTCAGAATTTGTGAAATTTAGTCCTACTCTCAAACTTAAGAATCAAAGCTATTTGTCAACCTTCTCAAGTCTAAGAATCACTCCTACTCCCAAAGATATTTAAGAGACCTCCGGAGGTGTCCTAAGTGGTCAGGAGCTGCCAGTAGAGGATGGCACTGAGGAGAGGGAGACGTGCGCGAAGGATGTCCTGACTTTGTTTGATGACGAGCAGCTGATCAAACGGTATCGTTTGGACAAAGCGGGTATTATTATTGTCACAGATTTAATAAGGGACGTCATCTCATCAGTAACGTGACGCAGCAGAGCTTTCACGGCAGAATTAAAGGTCATCACAATGCTTCGATATCTTGCCACTGGAAAAATGCAACAGTGTAACGCTGATTATTTGGATCCATCACAACCGTCAATTAGCAGAATTGTTATGGAAACAATAATGGCCCTTACTGCTCCTCACCTCGTCATGCGCTTCACTGACTTCCCAACTACACCCCGGTAATTCAACAGAAGCAAATTGCATTCATGCAAACAGCTGGCTTCCCTGGAGCGGTCGGTGCAATCGATGGCACACATATTAGGATCATCGCTCCAAGCGTGGACGAGAGCGTTTATGTAAACAGGAAGAGGTACCACAGTATCAACACGCAAGTAGTGTTTGATGCAGACTACAACATCTTGGATGTGGTACCCAAGTTACCTGGGTCCACCCATGACACAAGGATCCTAAGTGAAAGTGGCCTGAAGCAGCTGCTGAGAGGCACATTGTGCCACCTGGGTGTCACCTAATTGGGGATAAGGGATATCCCTTACGCCGCTGGCTTCTTACCCCTTATCAGATGCCAGACACCAGGCCAAATGAACTATAACAGGTTAGCCCAACGAAATCCCTAATTGTTTTAAATTTAAAATGTTTAATTAAGTTTATAGAATATGGTTTAATAATATTCTCGTCACAGGGCACACAAAAGCACAAGAAGTGTGGTGGAGAGAGGAATTGGGAAGCGCAGATTCCGCGTTCTGCATTCAGAAATACTCCAGACAGAGTGAGGGAGGAGATGGAGATTCGAGCGTCCCTGGCAATATCCATCCATGTGATGGGGCAGCCTTCAGACAACACTTCGCCAACCTCCACTTTGGGTAAGAATAACAATAAATCACAGATACACACAGTGCCTTTTAATTAATTTGTTTTATTAGTCACTCAGTATTTTTTATTTTTTTTAAAGCCAAGTTGTAGTACTCCTCTTGGAGTCGCAACACTTTAATTTGCAGCTTCATTTTTTGTCTCCGCAGTGCCTGCAGATCATCTGGGTCCTCTGCTGGGCCACAATCACTCACCCCGGCCTGAAAAACAAAAGCTAGTGAGACGGTATACTCAAGATGCAAAAAACTTAAGTTGATTTTTTATTTTCACCCACCACTTGATGGATGCCTATTGCCTCACACAAAGTGCTTGGGCCTGGCTGCACTGCATCAAAAGCACAGGGAGAGTGCTCATCGAAGATGCCTGGGGACACAGGAGACTCTCTTGGTGCATCTTGATCCAAACTGAAAAATAAAGAATATGGCTGAAATATCAGAAATGGTTCTATTGTTGTTATGGTTATGACTTAACAAACACACATTTTAGACATTTACTGAACAGTAGCCTGGCAAATATGCAGCAACAATTACACACATATCTTTCACCAAAACTCACCTAGGCTGCAGCGCAATATCCCTATACAGTTGTAACAGGAATAATTTGGAAACTCACCCTTTTGAAAGCAAATCAAGCTTCATCGCAGCTGGATCCTGGCCGCCGTCCAACCCAGAGATGCTGGCGTTATCTTCTCCAAGTATGCGCAGCACAACCTCTGCAACTGCGCTTAAGTCTTTGCCAGGGGGGCCTCCGCCTGTGTAACAATATCACAATGGATTAGATAGATATTAGCGAATAGAGTAGCATGCAAGCAAATGAAAAAGAAACACGAGGCTACATATGGAGCTACATTAGGTTCAAAAGTTTTGTACTTGAAAAAAATAAAATTTGAAACTGAAAATTCATGTGTTGATCTTGAATTTTGAAAAATACAACAATATATTCAAAATAAAAATAAGTGCATGAAACGTTTTTTCAGGTTAAATATAATTTTGATTCACTTTGGTAATTCTTTTGAATGAATAATTTATTTTCACTTTTCACTTCCATATATATTTTAACATTTGAGGTCTTATTTTTTTCAGTTCAGATCTTATTTTTACAGTTTTAAATCTCTTTTTTTCACTTTCAGATCTTATTTTTTACAGTTTCAAATCTGTTTTATGAGTTTCAGACTTTTGACCCTGATGTGGCGTGGGGGGCGTGGCATCAACTGACAGGGGTGTGGAATCATGAGTGACAGTGCCTTCAGGGAACGTAGGAACTAAAAAAATTCTGACTCAACACTTACATACACCATATTCATGTGACTGACAGTGTAAAAATTGATGCCAGTGACAGTGAAATCACCTCCTCATTATTATCCACTTCTCATCATTATTATTCTTATTGTTATTGTTATTGTTATTTATTGCCGTTTCTTGTATTTTTGTACTTATTTTGCATGCCTAGTTTTTAAGTTTTTAAGTTTAAATTTTGAAATCTTTAATCTGACTCTTTCTCCTTGACTGCTGTAACACTGGAATTTCTCAATTGTGGGATCAATAAAGGTGGATCTTATCTCTATATTAAACACTGACTACGGGTCTGACGTTTAAACTACGCATGAAAACACTACGTTCTGTGACAACACAACAGTAACATATTGGTAATTACGACTTACAATTGTGCGCCTGATTGTTGCGAATTGCATGCTGAGATACCTGGCTGTCTGAAGTCCACACAAATCTGCTCCAATGTATCCCTAGTAAAAGGGGCGTGGCGAGAACACATCCGGGCATTTGGACTGAACTTGGCCAGATGTGAACTTTGAATTGGAACAGTACTTGTGCTGTGACTGATGACGTGTCACAAGTCCGCACAAGAACGCATGTTGAGCTGCTCTAGTCTTTATTTTGTTGGTGACAGACTTCCGACAGCCTGAGTGATAAACCTGCAGGTGATCAGATCAGACATGTGACTGATTATTGGCTGGATCAATAACAGAGAGATGACCACAGGAAGTCTGCCAGAAATAACCCCGGAACCTCAGCTGGTGTTCTTGTTGCAGGGGGACAAACCCCACGCTGCCTCAGGTGTCATCGGGGCCCAATCCCAAACCGGCCCCTAACCCCTTGCCCTATCCACTCCCTCTGTGCATCAGTGCAGGCTTCTGATGAGCCCAGCAGGAAGCGCATCATCACAATGGAGGAAACAACATACAAATGAAAAGAGTTCCGTCTTTCTACTTTGTAAAATATTTTAGATCAAACACACACATTTGTTTTCCTCACACTGACTTCACAGTCTCAAACAAACTCACAGAATGTTTGGTGTCAAAATATCAATCAATCAATCAGTCAATCAGTCAATCAGTCAATCAATCAATCAATCAATCAATCAATCAATCAATCAATCAACCAATCAATCAATCAATCAATCAATCAATTTTATTTATAAAGCCCAATATCACAAATCACAATTTGCCTCACAGGGCTTTACAGCATACGACATCCCTCTGTCCTTATGACCCTCACAGCTGAT